ATTTTACACATTTTATGGATCTTAATTAACTTTTTGTATAAAATTAGATTTTCTCTTGTATTATTTTTCTATTCTGCGTAGTCGTAGTAGTCGTTCGAAACATACTTTTACTAATTTATTTTTATGTCGAGAAGATGAAGACAATTAAGTAAAAATTTATTTCTCATGGGAAATACTTACATTACTTCTGTTGTGCTCCTTTACATGACAAGATTATTTTTAAAATATACGTAGTTTTAAAACATTTTGTTTCAATATTCGAAATAATTTTACAACCTTAATAAATAAATTGTTACAAAGAAAAAGAAAGATGTTTGAAAGTATGGAAGACAACAGTAGTGTTAATAATGATGTTTAGACTGCGCATGTTTATGCATTTAACAATAATAACATATTTATTAAATTATGTACTTATTAATATGTACATATATTATTATAATTATGTACTTATTATAATAACATATTTATTAAATTATGTAATAATTATATAAATTAATAATTATTTATTTTTAATTAATTATCATTTGTTCGGGAATTAGTTCAAAAAAATTAGTGCCAAACTTCATGAGCATACAGTACTTATAAAGATAAGCAAATACATGGACCCAAGAATTATTAATTTTGGAGTTATTTAGATTTTTTTCTTCTATTTTAAACCTAGATAGCGGCATAACAGATTCTATGCCATCTTGGTTATCCAATTTGGAAGAAATATAACTATATGAATAAGTACATATAATATAAGTACATATAATAATAAATATAACTATATAAATAGGTACATATAATATTTCTGGAAGAAATATAAGTATGTAAATAAAAGTATATATTGACGTCATTCATTAATCATATTCAGAAGAATGTATCTCGTTGTCTTAGTATTACAGCGTTGCACTAAAAATTTTTCAAGTAATAACAGAAATGTCGGAGATCTTTCAATGCGTATATTTATGAGAAGACATGCAGAAGTGTACGAGACATATTACATATTACGCTACGAATATATCTTACTGACAAAAACATCTCATTACTCCGGAATTAATTGTTCCTGAATTCATGTTTACAAAGACTATTTTGCTCGTTTTGATCACTACTGCATGTTCCTGAAATGTAGCACGAACTTTTTTATAACTTTTTTATAAATTTATATGAATTTATTATTACATAATAAGTATTTTATAATATTAATATTTATTGTATAATAAATAAGACAAAATTCATAAATAAATAGTGACAATTTTTATACATTTATAAAAAAATCTGAAAGTGTAAAAAATACACATAATGCACGCTATTACGGATTTTCAGTTCACGTTTAGGATATTTTGTAATTTAAATTAAAAAAAAAAAAACAAAATTTAAGCAACCAATCGCCTTGTTTTGAGGACAAAATTATTCTATTAAGCAGTAAACTATACAAAAATGAGATGATTGGAGATGTTTGAATGTTCAACTAAATTAATTATGAATACTTTTATAGAAGAGGAATAAATACTTCAAGTTTATTATATTAATTAGTCATATAGGATCAAAAAGTGATTTGAAAAATGACTATTATATTTAATATTTAATATTTAGATATCAATTTCATATACATCCGAAATATGACTTATTATACTATCAGTTTCGATGCAATTATGCTTTTTTTATAATATACATACATATAATAGATACATATAATAATATACTTTTGTGTTATTCAGTATTAATGACTTGATTTAAACGAAAGCTCTATAGCTTTCTGTATACGCCCATTTG